CCCAAAAGTTATACTGAGAAAGTTGGCTGAGCCAGGATTTGAACCCAGGAGGCTTGGTGGTTCCACTAGATCAGTATTTTAGAATTTTAAAACATTATGATTATTTATAAAATAGAAATTATTGTATGTCAGGCATATTTAGTTTTTGATTGTGCCACTTGGCTTGTAGGATCTTAGTTCCCTGACCAGGGATCAAACCCTGGCCCTCGGCAGTGAGGGTGTGGAGTCCCAACCACGTGACTGTCAGGGAATTTCCTGAGCATTTTTAAAACGCTTTACGTACGTGAAATAATTTAATCCTTATAATAGCCCTATGAAGTGGGGGCAATTATTACCCCTATTTTATAAATGAGCAGAGAAGCCCAGAGAGGTGAAATAGCTTGCCCAAGGTCACACAGCTAGTAGTAGCAGAGCCAAATTTAGAGCCCATGTCATCTGGCTCCAGGGACTGCTCTTAACCACTAATCCATGCGCTTTCACTGTGAGAGAAATATTTTACACCTGGGTCAGCACTGAAACCTCAGCTTCAAGAAATACCACTTACCTTCCTGTGTACCAGGCACTCTGAGATTCCCCCCTCTATCCTACCCCTCTCCACTTCACTCTTTACATCTGCCCCGCTTTTTTGCTTTTGCTGATGGTTCTGTCTGTGAGATTCATCCGCATCATCATGTGTAGTTTGCTCATTCTCATCCCGTGCCTCAGTTTCCTCATCTGTAGAGTGGGGACAGGAATGATACTAACCTCGTAAGGATGTGTGAGGTCTGAGAGAATTCAGTCACGTCAAGTCCTTAGACGAGAGCCTTAGAAGGGAAAAGGGTCAGTCAGGCTGGTAAAGAGTAGGCAGACCAGACTGATGGGAGGAGAGGGAATGGCAGAGGCAAAAGAGTGTGGAGAAGCCTGGTGTTTTCTGGAAATGACTCTGGGATTCAAAGCAGCTGGGGAAAGGAGGATGTCATAGGACACGGGGCTGGAAACGTGAGCAGGCACCAGAGCAGGGGCTGAAGAGCTGGAACTCTGTCCTGGGGCCACTGGAAGCCTGGGAAGGCTTTTTTAATTGTTGGATTGAAAAACAATTATTTATTTTTAATTGGAGGATAGTTGCTTTAAAATATGGTATTGGTGTCTGCCATATATCAACATGAATCAGCCATAGGAATATATGTGTCCCCTCCCTCTTGAATCCCCCTCCCCCAGGAAGGGTTTTGAGCAGAGAGGGACAAAATTGGATCTGGGTGGTAGAAAAGCTCCCTCGGGTCATGTAGGAGGTAGATTGGAGGCTGGTAGGCCGGGGAGGAGGCTGGTGGTTGGCCCAAGCAGGCGAGGCCTGGGATGGACAGGATTATGGGGGTTGATAGAGATGGTAAATTCTAGATATTCCAGAGAAGGAAAAGATATACAGGGAGGATGAGCATTAGCAAAGCCACCTATGACACAGACTTGGCCATTAAGGGCCTAGGAGATTTTGATCCCTGTGGCAAGCAGGATTGTGTTCAATTTATATTAAAATTCTGTTTAATTTATACACATCACATAATTAATATGCCATATACTGTTGACTCTTGAACAACTCAGGGAGTTAGGGGCACAGACCCTCCCCACATTCAAAAATCGGGGTATATCTTAATACAGTCGGTCCTTCTATCTGTGTTTTCTCCACATCCGTGGATTCACTAAGCCAGATTGGGTAGTACCATAGTATTTACTACTGAAAAAAAATCCTCCTATATATGGACTTGCACAGTTCAATTCTAAGTTATTCAAGGGTCAACCATATTTGCTTTAACTGTTGTTTAGTCGCTCTGATTCTTTTGCAACCCTGTGGACCCAGCCAGGCTCCTCTGTCCATGGGGTTTCCCAGGCAAGAATACTGGAGTAGGTTGCCATTTCCTTCTCCAGGGCATCTTCCCAACTCAGGGACTGAACCCAGGTCTCCTGCATTGCAGGCAGATTCTTTATGGCTGAGCCACAAGGGAAGCCCCTATATACTCTAATTACTGGTTGTTTACAACTGACGCCCTTCTGATTGGCCAATACCCATGTTATTTGTTGTTGTTGTTCAGTTGCCAAGTCATGTCCAACTCTTTGTGGCCCCAAGGATTGCAGCACGCCAGGCTTCCCCATCTCTCACCATCTCCCAGAGTTTACCCAAGTCCATGTCCATTGAATTGGTGATACCATCCAGCTATCTCATCCTCTGTCACCCTCATCTCCTTCAGCCTTCAATCTTTCCCAGCATCAGGGTCTTTTCTAATGAGTCAGCTGTTTGCATCAGGTGGACAAAGTATTGAAGCTTCAGCTTCAGCATTAGACCTTCCAAAGAGTATTCAGGGTTGATTTCCTTTAAGGTTGACTGGTTTGATCTCCTTGTTTTCCAAGGGACTCTCAAGAGCCTTCTCCAGCATCACAGTTCAAAAGCATCAATTCTTCTGTGCTCTTCCTTCTTTATTGTTCAGCTCTCACATCTGTACATGACTAATGGAAACACCATAGCCTTTACCATATGGACCTTTTTCAGCAAAGCAATGTCTTTGCTTTTTAACACACTGTCTAGGTTTGTCATAGCTTTGTTATAACCAAAGTTAAATATTTTGAACATTTCTCCTGAATATCCATCCCCTTTTTTAGTTCAAAAGATTTCCATGCTTTTTGTTTAAAAAAATCAGAGAGTATGGAAACAAACAAAATAAAAAGTGAAAGATTATCCCTCCACTACCAAAAGGCAATATTAATTTGAGGGGCCAGGGGATGTGATTTTTCCCACAAGATTTTGCAAGATTTGTAATTTCCCTTTGCACTTGTTTTGCATTGCCCATATACCCTAGTGCAGATGAGCTAAGAAGGTGTTTGGCAGATAGAAACTTAAAAAACCATACAGTGGCTTGAACAGTTTCACTTTTTCCTATAACAGGAAATTTGGAAGAAGGTAATTATTCTCTGATTTGGCAGCACCATCATTTGTGGGATTGATTAGCTTGGCTTTTTTCCTTTGTGGTTGCAAGATGGCTGCTGCAACTCCAGCCATCACATCTTGTGTTCTGAGCCAGATGAAGTGGAAAGGGCAAGTGCCGGTCCCTTTTTATCAGGGAGGGGAAAGCTTTCCCAGAATTGCTCAGGATACTTGCTGAGATCTTATTGGCCAGAGAACTGTGCCAGAGGCCACCCAAGCTGTCAGGGAGACTGGGAAAGTGCTTCTGTGGGCACACTGATGCCCCAAACCAAACTGGAGATCTGTGAGTGGGGAAGGTTAAAACAGATATTGGGTGTGGATATAGAGTCTGCACATAGTGTCCTTTGATAATTAGCAGATGACTGTCCTGGACAAGGATGCTGGCAGGAGCCTCTATTAAGAAAGGAGGAGTGATATGTGAGTGGAAACTAATCTTATAAGTGATTGTTAGATCACTGGGGTAATGATTTTTTTTCTGACAGTTGCTTCACTGAACTGAGTGTGGGAATTTAGATAATCAGGGTTCCCTGGCTGATGTTTTTGTGCTCATGTGTTGGTTGTTCTTAACAGTAGAGCCTTAGTAATGGCTTTGAGAGGTCAGAAAACATGTGCTTTTGAGATGTTGCTAGACGCTGCTTAGCTGCCGTCTAAAATGGCTATTCCGAGTTGTTCTCACATCCCAGAGGATAAAAGGGTTTGTCTCAAACACCCTGAGCAACTCTGACAGTTGCCAACCTGATAAATGAAAAATAAAGGTTTTACAATTTAGATTTCTCTCTCCCTGTCCTTTTTTAAAGGGAGATCAAACATCTTTTCAGATGTTTTTTGACTGTTTATTTCCTCTTCCCTGAATTGCCTGTTCTTTTATTTAGCCATTTTTCTTTGGGGGGTTCTTATTGACGTTTAGGAGCTGTTCAGATATTCTGGTTTTATAACACTTTCTTATACATGCTGCTAATATTGTCTTTGAGTTTTTTTGTTTTGTCACTCTGATTTTGTCCTTTTCTATAATGAAGTTAAACTATATGGTCCCTGTTTTTCCTTGTGGCCTCAGGATTTCCTACTGTGCTTAGAAAAACCTTTTCTACCTCAATATTTTATATATATACATATATTATATGTATATGTATATATATAATACATAATGTTATATAAACATTAATATAATATGTATCTATAACTATAGATCTATTCTTTTATATTTCCTTCTAGAATTTTTGTATTTTTTAGTGTTTATTTAGTTTATCCTGAATTTTGTGTTTTATTTTTGATTACAAAATGACATGTTCACTGTAAAACAGAAAGATAATATAGGAGGAGTCTAAAGAAAAAAATATTTTGAGTTAATTAATAAATTTTTAAAACTAGACATTGTATAAGTTGCTTTGTAACCTTTTTTTTTGCACTTACTGGCTAGTAAACATCTTTTCATGCCGTTAAATATTTGTGTATAGCATCATTAAATTTTATTTCAGTAACATAATTTTAAATGACTGTTTAGTATTTCATATTTATAAGTGTGCTTAGCTTTTTCTTACTGATATGCAAGATCCGTTTGTACATAAAGTATCCTGACTACTCTCTGGTATGTATGTGCTACAAAAATATTTTGCCAGCGTGTTGATTTCCTTTAAATTTTGTTTATGATGTTGTTGCCATTCTGAAACCTCAAATTTATTAAAATTCAAACCACTGATCTTTCCCTTAATGATTTATGCTTTTTGCAATGAATGTTCTCTAACCAGAGATCATATATCAGGTCGGCTAAAAACTTCATGGATGAACTTCTTGGCCAACCTACTATTTCTTTGTATGCTTGTTGTTGTCCTAGTTTTATGATTTTATTTCCTTGTTTTAAGTTTGTAATTCATTGCGGGTTTACTCTGGAGTGACGTTTGAGTCTAAGACCTAACTTACATTTTTTTTTTTAAATCAAAAAAAGGTTATCTAAATGTGACCCTGGGATGAGATGGGAGCATCCGAGGCCAGTTTTACCATGAGAGTAAAACCATAGGCTTATTGGTAACTCTGTACTTTCCTTCTCTGCCAGGCCTTGGAGACCCGGGCCAGCCCTGGCCACACCCCTGGCTGTGTCACCTTTGTCTTGAATGACCACAGTATGGCCTTCACTGGAGACGCCCTACTTATCCGAGGGTGTGGGCGAACAGACTTCCAGCAAGGTCACAGGCCCTTTTCCCTGACCCAAGATTTCAGTATGGTTTTATGAATGCCAGGATTTTAAGTGTCCATTGTAAGAATGAATGAACGAATGGTAGACTTTTAGGGGATCAGGATTAGACTCCAGGAGTTCAGCTGCTAGGAGGTGGTCAGATTCAGTGGTTTAATTGCTAGGGGGTGATGTTACATTGGCCTTCCCTGGTGGCTCAGCACTAAAGAATCTTCCTGTCAATTCAGGAGACTCAGGAGGTGCAGGTTTGATCCCTGGGTCGGGAAGATCCCCTGGAGGAGGAAACTGCAATACACTCCAGTATTCTTGCCTGAAAAATCCCACAGGCAGAGGAACTTGACAGGTTACAGTCCATGGGGTTGCAAAGAGCTGGACACCATTGAGTGTCGCATGCATGATGTTACACTTGGGGTTTAGCTGCTGGGGGCAATTACATTAAGGAGTTTCCCTGTGGGAAGGGTGTTTAGTTTCATAGTGTCAGGGTTCAGCTGCCCTTTGAGTATGTGTGTGAATGGGATGGACACTAGATTGGGAGGATTCAGCCACCTTGCAGGGAGAGGCTGGAAGAGAGAAAAGAGACAGCATTAGTGAGCTGGCTGTGGGTAGCCACATCCCCAGGCTGCTTCTTGCTTCCTCTTTCCTTATCTTTCCATCTCTGTCTCTGTCTTTTTCTCTTTGAAGCTCCTAATCTTCCCTTTATTCATCCACAACACAGTCAGGAGATCAAAGGCTGAAAGAAAAGACAGCAGAACATTATGAGAGGTTTGCCCCTGTCCCATCTTAGGACTCAGAGCTTCTTGTCAAAACCATGGCTCTATCCTCCTCCTTGACCTCATGTCTTCAATTTCTTACCTTCTAGTCCACTTCCCCTGCCCAGAATCCTTTCTTAGCATCCTCAGAGTGAGGGGACTTGGTGCTTCAGGGTCCTATCTCAACCTTCCTTACAATCATGCTGAATTCTTACCATTCCCCAAGTCTTTGCATGTGCTGTTCTAGTTGCCTAGAATTCCCTTCCCTCTCCTCTACCCAAACAGCTACTGGCAGAAAATGAGGGAGAAGGTTTAGCTACAGTGATTTTTATCCTCCTGTCTTTTTCCTGAAGGGAAGGGGTTTAGGAGCTTCTCTCCATCTGTTGCTCCACTGACCTCTGACTTTTCCTTCTCCAGGCTGCGCTAAGACCTTGTACCACTCAGTTCATGAAAAGATCTTCACTCTTCCAGGAAACTGTCTGATCTACCCTGCTCATGATTACCACGGTGAGGGCTTCCTGGAGGAGGTGTGTGATTTACATATCTTAGCATTTGAGAGTGAGCACTGAAATGCTGTAATCCTCTTGTGGCTTTCGGAATACAATTCCCAGGAATTTCTCTGGCCAAAAAGATCAAGTGCTGAGGTGTACTGAGGGTAGATGTAGAAAATATAACGCTTAGAATTCCGAAGGCGTAGGCTTTCCTGTAGAACTTAAGGGACTGGGAAACTACATTTCCCATAGTGCCCATTGGTCAGGGGGAAAGCAATCTGTTAGTCCTGGGCCAGAAAGGTACCCTGAGGCCTCCTGGGAAATGTAGTTCTGGGAGGCCAGAGGCACTGGACAGTCTGACATTCCTCCCCACTCCCTTGGCCATTAGGGCTCACAGTGTCCACTGTGGAGGAGGAGAGGACTCTGAACCCTCGGCTCACCCTCAGCTGTGAGGAGTTTGTCAAGGTCATGAACAAACTGAACCTGCCTAAACCTCAGCAGATAGGTGAGTGGCTAGGGGTCTGGACTCCTGGGTTTGAGGGAGGAGGGAGCTGGGGGTCTGGACTCCTGGGTCTGAGGGAGGAGGGAGCTGGGGGTCTGGACTCCTGGGTCTGAGGGAGGAGGGAGCTGGGGGTCTGGACTCCTGGATCTGAGGGAGGAGGTGCTGAGGGTCTGGACTCTTAGTTTCTCAAAGAAGAAGAGCTATTAGGATGCCTGGGTCCCCAGTGGGGCAGAGGGGAAGCGGATGGTCTGCTCGGGCCCCTTTATTTCACTCTTGGCTTCTTCGTTTCAGACTTTGCTGTTCCAGCTAACATGCGCTGTGGGATCCAGACGCCCCCTTCCTGATCGACCCTGACTCTCAGGGGCTCACAGCTCACATCCATTAAAAATGCACTAGGTGGGGTGAGGGGAGCCTTGCCATCACTGGGGCCTCTCTCCTCTTCCCCTCCCTTACTAGCCCCCTCAAGCTTCTTAAATAAAAATATTTTTTTCTCCTCTGAATCTGACTTCTGTTTCCTGGGGGAACCAGTGGGTTTCTGGGCTGAGGTATCTGTAGTTAGTTCTGGTCCCTGGAGAGGTCAGGGAGCAAGGCAGGATAAAGGTCTAGGGAGCCTGGAAGGAGGAAATTTTTGTAACTCGTAAGAGAGAAGCAAACAGATATGTGGGGTAGGGTTTCTCAGCTCCTTGGATTCGAACAATTTTCAGTTTAAACCACTTGCCCCTTGAGACCCAGAATAAAGTACTTCAATTCTCCCAGCCTCAGTTTCCTCGTCTGTAAAATGGGAATAATAGAAATAATAATAGGGTGTTGTGATGATCCAATGAGTCCATATACGTGAAGTGCTTGGCACACTGCCTACACAGCAGATTTCCTATCAGTGTTAACTATTATTGTTACTATCTTTCGGAATGATCTCTCAGGGACTTCCTGGCCTGAGTGACAGTAAGCCTAATGGTAAAGACTATGGATTTTTCCAGAGAACTGATACGGTGCTCACATTAACAACATGTGTAGACTCTGGGTACACTTGCCCCCCTCAGCCTCAGTTTCCTGACTATAAAATGCAGATAGTAATTTCTCTGTAAGCTGCTGTAAAGATTAAATAAATTGATGTGTATAAAATGTTTATACTTTATATAGGCAGCTCCTGACATCCAAAAATCCTTTCTCACATAGCAGTTATTTTCCTGTTTTTGCCCAGAGAGGAAAGGGTCTGGCTGAGACCTTTAACCTCTGCCCTCCACCCAAAGCGAGGTGGGGGGGCCACACTTCCCGCTGTCTCTGGGCGGGCCTCTGACTCAGCTCAGGGCACCCCCTCCTCTTGTCCAGCTCCCCAAACCGGTTGGGGCCCTTCTAAAGTGCTCATTAGAGGGGAGAGGCCCCTACCTCCATTCCCCTCTTCCTCTCAGGATTCTCAGGGTCTGGGCATTAGGGAGGCGCTTTTACACAGGTGACCAAGGCGCCTGGCTCCCCGGGGCAGGACTGGGGGCGCTGGAGGCAGAGCTGGGGGGTCGTCATGCTGGGTTTTCCTAGGGTGGGGCCGGTGGGGCCCGGATGGCCCGATCCCGCGGCTGCGGGCGGGGCAAGCTGGTCGCTCCCGCCTCCCTCGAGAGCTGTTGGACCTGTTGTCCCCCTGTCCTCCGCTTCCGGGCTGCTGGGGAGGGGGACCGAGCAGCCTGTCTCTCCTCCCTCTTCCCCAGCCACCTGTTCAGTGGGCAGAAACTGCTGCGCCGGAGCGCAGAACGGAGCGCGCCGAAGCCTGAGCTGGTGAGGGGGCCGGGGCTGTGGGGTCGCGGGGGCTGGAGCTCTGGAATCTCGGTCCCGAGGAGCCGAGGACTCAAGGCTCCTGGTTTGTCCAGAGAGGGAGACCAGGAGACCCGACTCTCCGATCCTTGGGTGAGGGGGCAGGGGCACGGCTCCCTTACACAGCGGGGTCAGAGCTGAGACTACGGGGCTCCAGAGAGGACAGGGCGGAACCCAACTCCTGAGTCCGCGAAGCAGATGGTGATGGGGTCGCTCTAAAGTGGTCCAAGGGGATAGTCTGGGGCGGGTGGGAAAGTACAAGGCTCGACACCTGGATAGCAGGGAGACGCCGGTAGGGGGCGTACTAGGACCCGGACTCAAATTCCGGTCCCGCCTCTTGGGGCGTGACGCCCTAGGAGCCACGAACCCCGCCCCTAGAAGCTCCAGGCCCCGCCTCTGGAATGTTCAGTCCCATCCTTTGAACTCTCAGGCCCCGCCTCTGGAGCGCTCTCCGGAGCTTTCGGGCGGGACGCGCCGGCCCCCTGGGCCACGCCCCCAACGCCTCCGGAACCCCAGGCCCTGCCCACCCGACGCGAGTTCTCAGCGGCCATGGGGACGCGGAGCAGCCCGGACCTGGGGGCTCCTCCGGCGGCGGCCCCGGAGTGCGACACAGAGGTCCGATCTCAGGGGGCCCCCAAACCCCGGGGGCACCCCAAAGACTCCCGCGAGCGGGAGGCGCCCGAGGCCCCGGCAGAGCTTCCGAGCGGCCAAGGAGCTGAGCAGCAGGCGAAAGAAGAGGAAGAAGTGGGAGAAGGCAGCAGCACCGAGAGCAGCCACGATGCGGTGAGGGACCCGGGGGGCGAGAGTCACGGGGCGGGGGGGACCCCGAGGAGCAGACCCGAGCGGGTGACAGAGACACAGAGAGCCAGGTACAGGAAGACCAGATAGAGACCCAGAGACAGGGAAACGGGGAGACAAAGATCCAAAGGAGTCAAGGGACCCTCGAGACCAGAGAAAAGAGACTCAGAGTGCTGAGGATAGACACAGACAGAAACCCAGAAACAAAGATGCTCAGAGAAACAGAGACAGAGAAACCTTGAGACGGGGAGATACTTCGAAGGAGAAAGAAAAATAGCGATTCGGAGACAGAAGACATACTGAATCAGGAAGATGAAGCCCAGAGAAAAGGGGAAAAGACTCAGAGATCCCGGGAGAGAGAAAGAGATGCAGGACCTTCGAAGACGTGAGGCCAAGAGAATGGGAAACAGCGTCCTTGAGTCGGCTCTGTGCCCCCTCCCCGGACTGTGGGCCCCTGGGCCACCTCCTGGGACCGAGCGGTCATCGGACCTGCACCGGATAAAAGAGCTTGGTGGCTGAGGGTCGCTAACTCAGATCCCCCACCGCCCCCGCCCCAGGGACCTGTTTAGTGATGCTGGGGGCGAGTCCTCCCCAGCTGACTAGCTTTCTCCAACCTCAGGCGGAGGCTCCGTCTCCAGTTCAGACCCCGGCCACGCCCCCCGCACCCGCTCGGTCTGGAGAAGCGGTGCGAGGGGCGGCGCGGCGGCTTCGCGCGCAGCAGCTGGAGGCACTGACTCGCGTGGCTTTGATGGAGCAGCGAGTGAAGGAGCTACAGCGTCAGAGGAAGGAACTGAGGATCGAGGTGAGGCTGTCGCCCCAACCCCGTCAGGCCAGGCTTCCAGTCCTTTACAACCACGGGAGACGAGTCTCAGGCCTCCAGCTTCATACTCTCTCCGAATCCAGGAGTTCGGATTCCCAGGTCCTTCGTTCAGACCCAGGCGTCCGCGCGCCACCGCCCCTTCCTTACTCTTAGACCCAGGCCTCTGGGTCCCAGCTCTTGCCTTCTCTCTGCAGATGGAGGTGGAGGTGGCCCTGCTGCGGGGTGAGCTGGCTGGGGAGCGAGTGGCCGCTCGGCGGGAGGAGGAGCAGCTTCGCGAGCTGCTAGGGCAGCAGGTGGACTCAGAGAAGGGCGGCCAGGAGCAGCGGGAACAGGTGTGTTTGCCCGGCTGGATCTTCATCGTCGGTTCTCTTCCTTGTGGGACAGACATTCCTGTGGTGCTCCTGGGGCCGGGGTTACATCCCTGTTCTCCAAGCCGTGATACTGGGGCTGGGGGTGGGCAGTGGCGGGGACCTATGCCTCTCTCTGTTTCCCTCCTCCCTCCTTCCTCTATGACTTTGGGGCCTGACTCACTGGGGCGTGTTCTTTGCCCCATCTCTCTTTGCTCTTTAAATGTCATTTTGTGAAAAATGTCAAACCAACAAAAAATAGCCGGTTGCCATGTGGTGAGCTCCCCAGTTCAGCTGGGATTAATCCTCTTTTTCTGTTTCATGTCCTCCCGTTGGCTTCCCTGTCCCTAGATTTGAAATCCAGTACCAGACATCATGTCGACAGTAAATACTTTAGTTCTTTAAGAACTCCTTTAAGAAAACATTACCCCTGTGTCATTATCATATCTGAAGAATTACTATCTCATCTCCAGTCAATTTCCATGGGTCCCAGACTGTCTCAAAAACAATGGTTAACAGTTGGCTGTTTGAATCAAGTTCCCCAAAGGCCAGTATATTGTAATTGGTTGAAACGCCTTGTGTATGCTGTTTCTCCTCTAACGGTCCTTGCCTACTGTTTTTTCCCCCCATACTCTGTTGAAGAAACTGAGTCCTCTGTCCCATGGTCAGTATGTGACCAGTCGCATGCCGGGGGTGTCCTTTATCTTGTTTCGCTTCCTGGAAGCAGGTGGTTGATTAAATGTAGAAGATGGATCAGATTCAGATGAGCTGTGGTGCTTCTTGGGCGCTGGGCCAGGGGGATGTTGTCTCTGATTCTCCAGATCCCAGTGAGGTCATTCTGATTCCTTCCTAATAGTTATTTACCTAAAGGCTTTAACATTCATTGGTGATCATTGCTTGACCTGGAGAGTGCTTGTAGGTTGGAAAATGGTAACTTTGTAATTCTATCAGTCTCTTTCTTTGCCCTTATCTTACATGTTGGAATTTCCTGGGGTTGGATCCTGAGTCTTCAGTTACCTCAAAGAGCCTTTATTTCTCCCAGCCCCGATTTCTCTCTCAAAATCTAGACCTATGTGTCCTGATTTCTAGGATATTAGTTCCTAGATGCTCCTTCCCCTAGGACCTGGGTTTCCAAACCCCAGCCCCTCCTCCCTCAGACCCAGGGGTCCAGGTCCCCACCCCTCCTGCCTTAGATCCAGGAGTCTGGCCCCTTCTCATTCACTATGGTGACCAGTGCTGACCTCAGCACCTCCCTTTTCCACACCGTCCCGTCTCACCGTCCCTTTGGTCCCCAGGCCAGAGTCCTGGGCCTCGCTCTGCACGCCTTCTTATCTCTCACCCCAAGCCTGTCAGTCACCACATCCTGTTCTTTGTGCTCCCTGAATCTCTCTTGCTAGTCTGTCTCCTTTATATCTGCCCTGCTTAGACCTCAGGCAAGGTCACATCCTTTTTTTTTTAATTATTATTTATTAATTTTTGGCTGGACTCGGTCTTCGTTGCTGCGTGCAGGCTTTCTCTAATTGCGATGAGCGGAGGCTACTCTCTGGTTGTGGTGCTGGGGCTTCTTGTTGCTGTGGCTTCTCCTGTTGCGGCACTTGGGCTCTAGAGTTCAGGCTTCAGTAGCTGGCCTGCAGCATGTGGGATCTTCCCAGACCAGGGATTGAACCCATGTACCCTGCATTGGCAGGCAAATTCTTAACCATTGGACCACCAAGGAAGTCTAAGGTCTCAT